AGCATGTCAGAATGTGTCAAAATGCTCCTTTTGGCACGTGTCAGAATATGTCAAAGTGCTGTTTACAGCATGTATCAGAATGTGTCAAAATTCTGCTTCCATTATGTCAGAATGTCAAATTGTAATTTTCAGCTTGTGTCAAAATGCTGCTTTCAGCATGTGTAAAATCATCAGATTGTAGCACCCATGTATAAGGGTGATGAATATACTTCTATTCAAACCAAAGTTAATACTGTACATCTACCTTGACAGAGTCAAATCATATGAAAGTGTCACCGTACAATAAAGAAACTACTACCATCTATGTTTGATTTCTTTTTGTTCTCCATATAGATTGCATATATGCCAATAAGAACATACTATCATCTGAAAAGTTGCACATGATAGTATTAGTTTTATCAACTGAAAAAGCCTCCCCTGTTCTTATTCAAAATTGATTATAACACCAATTCTTATTCACTCGACTCTATCACCAAAATAAACATTATTATAATTAAAAAACGCATCATGGCTTATCTACGAGTATGATAGGAATTCTATTGAAAAATATTGCAATGCTCTTTCAACATTACAAATAAGTAATTACCATTTTTAACATAAAAATATATAAAAAAATGTAAAACCTTATGTTGATTTATTCTATGCAAGTCTTTGTTAAAAAAAATGTTAATTCCAAGAATATCCTCAGTACCCTTAGCTTATAAAAATATTTATTCTTAAGTTTATATACTACAGAACAATGAAGCACTATTTATTTACTAATTGCTGGCCTTAAAACAAAAATGTACTGTACATAATCCCTGTTATCACCAGAAATGCACGTTGAGGTAGTCATAAATAATTGTTAATGCTAAGTCGTTGAAACAAATAAATGTGCTAGACATCGAAGGTCATATAACACTACGATAAAGTATTATGATGAAAAGGGTAAATGAGTTAACGATTAGTATAAAGAGTGTTAGATGTCAAAGGTTTTAGTGATACAGGATAGCATTATAGGGAAAAGGGTAAAGAGGGGGGTTGCAAATGATGTAAATTGGAGATTAATAAAGGAAAGGGTTAAGGGTATAGGGCGATTGAATGGAATGGGATGTGTCTGTTGTTGGAGAAGCTGTAGTAACATTGCTTTACGGAAAAGCTGGTAAAAGAGGTTCTGAAATAATCAGCGGGTAATACGTGTAGAGGTAGCTGTTGAAGAAATAGCAGAAGAGTCTGGGGGACGAGAGTATGCAGGGAGCGTAAGGATAATGGAGAACGAAAAGGGAATGGTGTACATGGAGGAGGGGATGGGGGTTTGCTGGGAAAAAGTAGGTGGAAGAGGGTTAAGGGGAACTTACTGGGGAAGAGGATGGGTATCAGTAAATACTTTGAATGCAGAGGGACTAGGAAGAGAGATTGGAGGGTGGATGAGGGGGCGGAACATTTTCTTGGGTCATGTCTAGGAATTTTTGGATGTCTTCAAGTTTCTTGGGGGGCGTCTAGGACAACTGGCCGCGGCCACCTAGCCGCAACCCAACTGGCCGCGGGAAACTGGCACCTAAACCTGACTTGACCTGACCTGACCTGACCTGACCTAACCAACTTAACGTAACCTAACCTAACCTAAACTAAACTAAACCTAACCTAACCTAAATGACGAAGATAAAACAAACAATCACGCAGAAGCTGCTCATCGTAGACTGCAACATGAACTTGGAATGCAACATCCTACTGTTTGGAAATTTATTGATGGTTTGAAAAAAGTGCAACGTGGATGAGACCTATATTACGAACAGCTGATCGCAGGGCATTAGCCACCTGTCAAGTTGAAGAAATACAGACAAGCAGATGAAAGAATTAAAGCAATTGTAAAAACATTTGAGAGTCGTAATGTTGTTGAATATCTCAGGGGAATTGCTCATAACTTTTCATAAATTTCTGATGTTGCTTCTTGTTTTTTAATAATTAAAGACACATTGAAACATTTTTTACCAATAATACTTATTATACATAACTGTTCATGTAGTTATTTCTTGGTTTTTAATAAATAAAAACATTAAGATTTTTTTTTTATAATCTTGTTCCATTAAGTACTCCATAAAGATAGTTCCATATGCGCCAGTTTCCCGCGGCCAGTTGGTTTGCGGCCATTTTCCCGCGGCCAGTTGTCCCATTCCTTTTTTTTGGGGGGGGGGGAGAAGAGGGGATAGATGTTTGAGGAGTAGAGGAAAAGGAGGGTGTGGAAGTTACAGATGGAGTAGAACTAGAAATTGGAGTACCTAGATTATGGCTGAATGGCCAAAACGCCAACATTTCTGACACTGCAGTAGGAGATGGAGAAGAGAATGTTGTGAGAGAGGAAGGGGTGCATTCCGGAAGTTGAGTAATAACATGGGTGGGTGGTTCAGAATGGATAGAGGTGTCAGTAAATGTCGAGGAGGGGGTATTAGTATCATTGGTCAGAGCCGTGGTCAAAGGAGGAGCAGGGTCAGAAAGCCATCAAATTAAAATCAGATAGGAT